CAGTGATGTGCATGCAAGTAGTCCCTGACTTACAACGAGTCACTTAATGTGATCATTTGAACTTACAATAGACCTCTCCAGAGCTATTTTGAAAATGCACCCTGCTTCAAAATGCATGTGACTACATTTTGGGTGCTTGGCATTTGGGCTCAGCTTTGTGCTGTTTGCAGTGCCCCACAATCACATGACTGTGCTTTGCAGCTTTTTTTTGCCAGTTTCCAGTGTTTACGTCCAAGTTCCAGCAAAAATGTCCATTGGATAAAATGGATTCGCTTAATGATTGTAGTGTTTGCTTAAGGATTGGAGTGTTCATTTAACAACTGCTGCAAAAAATGTCAAAAAAATCAGGTCCAGTCAAGTGATGCCTTGACTTAAGACATAATGACTTACAATCATAATTCCAGGTTCAATTATGATCGCAAGTAGAGGACTATCTATAAATATGTATATATCATTCCCTGCAAAGTTGATCCAATTTGCTCCTACAGTTGATATAAGAACTGCAAAGATCTCACCTGTGCTTTTTTCCTCTGTTCACATAGGTTGGAAAAAATAAAAGAAAAACCACAATAAAACAGAATAATTTATATAATTGAAAGGCAGTTTACCTGGTCAAGGTCAGGTTACCAGTGTAAATCCTTCTGGATTCAGATAACTAGTATTTTGAAAGGTTTCTTTGGAATACATATGTTGTCTTGGGGGTAATCTATATTCAAAGCAAATCAAGAGGTAAATTTATTCCTGCAAAGAATTAAACTGGCTAGTCAACAAAAATCAAGATTTACACATCGTGGTAAATCCTGGCTTGTTGATTTAAGATAATTAGCAAGGCTGCATCATAGAATGTGGGTTATTGACCACAATGGCTGGGTTTAGACCAGACATGTCAAACTCGTGACATCACATGATGTCACGCAACGTATCGGAGCTTTTTCCCCATTGCTGGCAATAGGGTGGGCACGGTTTCCTTGTGACGGTCCGGCCTATGGGCCGGCAGTTTGACACCCCTGGTTTAGAGTAGACAATACACTAGATATCAAACAAACTCATAATTTGGCTTAATGTGATGTCTGGACCTAGCCTTATATATACAGTAAGTAGCGTATAAGGAAAAGTTTGTATGATTTAAGTACAAAGTGCATGAAAATATACACTCAATATTGAAAAAATCAAAACTCATCTGCCTATCCCCTCACTCTCCCAGTCTTGCTTTCTTCATGAAGATATTCCTTATACCTAAGGACCTTCATCTGGCTACCTTGTGAACTTTTCTATCTACTGTCTAGCTGCCCATCTACTCAAAAAATACTATCATTCTTTGCAACTTAATAATGTACAAAATCTTGGAGTGAAATGGAAAGCACAACCAGTTTTAAATGAGGATGCTTAAGAGTATAATTAGGAGAGTGGAGACTAAGACATATGAAGGAACTGGGAATGTCTAGTCTAAGAAAGAGAAGGACTAGGGATGACATGATAGCAGTTTTGCAATATTTAAGGGGCTATCGAAAAAAAGAGGGAGTCAATCTATTCTCCATAGCACCTGAAGGCAGGACAAGAAATAATGGATGGAAATTTATCCAGGAGAGATCCAACCTAGGAGAAACTGCCAGACAGGGAGAACAATTAATCAATGGAACAGCTTGCCTCCAAAAGTTGTGAGTGCTCCATCACTGAGCACTCAAAGGAGACTTGAAAGCCATTTGTAAGCAATCAACCAATTGAATAGCTTGCCTTAAGAACTTGTAGGTTCACTGGAGGGTTTCAAAGAGACTGGACAATCATTTGTCTGAAATGGTACACTGTAGGATCTCCTGCTGGAGCAGGGGGTTGGACTAGAAGATCTCCAAGGTCCCTTCCAACTGTGTTATTCTATGTTCTATGTTCCATTTATCTGAAATCAGATAGGCTCTCCATGCTTGAGCAGAGAATTGGACTAAAAGATTTCCAAGATCCCTTCCAACTGTGTTATTCTGTTATTATTAAGTGGCACAGAGACATTCTCTTCACCAATAGCTTTACCACTTATTCCTTTAAGCCAGCTATTTTTTTTTTTTTGAGAAAAAAAAATCAATTGCTGAAACACGATCCTTTTAAAACTATTCTGAAAAGTTGAGTTTACCTTTGGCCTACATGAAAATGTAAATTTCAAACAATCAGTGAGTCATCTTTTTAAATGCTACCCAAAGCCATGTGGAAAAAAGAGAGAAAAGCAAGGTCAATCTTCACTCGATAATTTAAAGTCAAAAAGCCCAAACAGACCCATGTATTGCAATCTTTTCCAACAAAAAGTGTTCCAGTTTTGTTAGATTTCAGTTTTTGTGAACCTCGGTCACATTGCTTTTTGAGATGAGAAATAAGTCCTTTTTTTAAAATTAAAAGAACTGCAAAAAATAATTGCATTTTTTTAAAAAAATAAATAAATCCCACAGCTTAGTTGAGCAACACCTAGATGTGGATGGTGATTTTGTGGCTTTCCAACTGTTGCTGAAGAATTTTCAGTATTAGCTGTGCAGACTAGGACCTCAAGGAACTGCAGATCAGCAGTAGCTGAAGAGCTTATTTCTTTATTCTTATTCTAGGTTTAGAAAATTAGAAATAGGTTAATGCTGCAGCCTTGCTCCACCCCTTAGGAACAATAAGGCAGCCAAACCTAGAAAGCCTCATGTAAAATTGGGGTATAATAAATGTAGTAATTATGCTGTAATGACCGTAATAAAGATTTGATTGATAGTATCAAACATTTATCATATCGACTTGTATCTCTCAATTAGTAGAATGCTTATATAGAAGATTCCTTTTTTTTTTGTAACAGAATGTATAATATGTTCAGTGTGCATTTACATCATAGTTTTTGCAATCGTGTAAGGTAGGCCTATGATCAAGATGAAGGCTGAATGGAAAGTGGCTTGCTTAAACTCAGTTTGCAAGTTATTAGGAGACAAACCATCATTTAACCTCACATCTATTCTCACATTACCATGAGCAAGACATCCACAAATGGGGATTTAAACCTTTAGTTTCAAATCCACTACACCTAGCTTAACTGAGATACACATATACATTCTCTACTTACCACAATTGGGGCTAATGTGTTGCATCTGATTTAACAACCTTTTTTGCCATAAGTTGTTAAGTGAATCATTAAACAAATCCAGCTGTACCCTTTGACTTTGTCAGAAGCCCCCTGGGAACGTTTATTTATTCTACCCCACCTTTATTTATTTGGCATACAGCTCCACCTTTATTTTCAGAATAACAATCAACGTAGCAAACACACCTTCTTCCGATTTTCTCCACAACAACCATGTGAGGCAAATTGTGCTGAGAGAGGATGATTGGCCCAAAGTCACCAAGCTGGTATTCATGGTTAAGGCGCGACTTGAACTCATGTCTCCCGCTTTCCAGCCTGGTACCTTAACCGTTGTTCCAAACCGACAGTCACAGGATCCTGGAATTTTGCAACCATCAAAAATGCATGCCGATTGCCAAGCACTCAAAAGTTTGATTACATGACTATGAGGACTCTACGACTGTCACAAGTACAAGGATTGGTTGCAAGTCTTCAGTGCCATTGCCACTTTGAACAGTCAATAAATGAATGGTTACAACACGAGAACTATCTGTAAACTACTTAGGGCTCTTAGCAATTGTGCTCCAGCAGATCATAAACCATTCCTCTTCAACCTATGTATGTAGGCAACCTTGGCTCTTTTATGACTCGTCAACTTCAACTCCCAGAATTCCTGAACCAGCATGGCTCAGCTTGGAAACCTCTCCCTTTCCCCTCAGCATGGCTGGCTCAGGAATTCTGGGAATTGAAGTCCACGAGTCATAAAAGAGCCAAAGTTGCCTACTCCTGGTTTAGGGTTACTGCTCCATCATCCCAATCCTTGGTGATGCTAAGACTGGTGGAGATTTGTAGCCCAAAGTGTCTGAAAAGAGGCAAGTTAGGGAAGATATTTGCCATGACTTACATATGTTCAAGTGACCCAAATGCAGTCAGATGGTGCCACGATTGCAGAGTTTATTATTCCCAAGTTTAAAGCACAGAAATATTAACTGCCCTTCTGGGACATTAACAGAATTTTCCCATGAATGTCTGGATATTCTGATTCTGTGAAAGCAACAGTGTCTTTCTGGCATTTGCCTTTGCCAAATGATCATCGCCTTATGGAATTCTTTGCAAGAATCCATGAGAATTACCCAAGTATAAGAAGTTTTCATAATCAAAAATATATCATTGTCAGCTCTACTATTCCAATTTGGGGACGAAGAGCTCAAACGAGAGCTGAAAGATGAATTGTAAATGGCACGTTCAAGCATGCTGTCTCAACCTGGTCAACTCCCAGGGGGTTTAGGCAGTAGATACCCATTCTTTTATGAGAGCAGCAGCCTTGAGGAGGTCTACCCCATGCTATGAAATCATGAGATACTATTTGTCTTTCTACTGCACTTAAAACTTAGCTCAGCAGAAGGCAAACCAATGTTTGCGTATGTGTACATAAACTATTCCCTCCGTCCAATTAGCAGACTATCCAGGCTAAAAACATAAACCTCCATCAAGGAGTTCCAAGAACTGAGAGAGCTCTTGTTGCACAGAGCACGTATCTCTAGAGCAAGGGCCTTCAAACTTGGCCCTTTTATGTCTTGTGGACTTCAACTCCCAGAATTCCTCAGCCAGCTCCCAGAATTCCTCAGCCAGGCATGCTAGCTGAGGAATTCTGGGAGCTGAAGTCCACAAGTCTGAAAGTTGTCAAGATTGCAGAACCCTGGACTAAGGGACTGACAATGCAGGCAGCGAGTTTCTGGGGCCAGCCAGAACTGTGGTGCAGGCCAAATGCTGTAGTAAACATGGGTCTTCAAACTTGGCCCTTTTATGACTTGTGGACTTCAACTCCCAGAATTCCTCAGCCAGTGTGCCTGGCTGAGGAATTCTGGGAGTTGATGTCCACAAGTCATAACAGGGCCAAGTTTAAAAGACCCCTGCTCTAGACCTTAAGACCTGTGGACTTCAACTCCCAGAATTCGCTAGCCAACATGGCTGGCTGAGGAATTCTAGAAGTCCACAAGTCTTAAAGTTGCCAAGTTTGCAGATCTCTGGCATATAGCGATGCTGTATGGCAAGCTTCTGTATTAACCTAACATTAAGGAAAGGAGGAATAAGAAGAGGTAACACATGCCTGTGATGCTTGTTGAGCTCTTGATCTGTGTCCAACCTGGAGGAGGATGTCACAATTTGAGAACTTTTATTTTTAAACAAGGTTTTTCCCATGGAAACACTAATCAGTTTGATGGTAGGAAAAATGCTGTAGTAATCACCTACATGGAGTTTTTAAAAAGTGCTCCTTTGTTCAACAAGTTGAGGGTGGAATTATATCTTTTGACCTTCACATAATTTTGCCACCAAGAATGTAAACAGAAAGCTTTTACAAAGATAAGATAATGTTCTAATGTTCTTCAATAATGTCTGACAACATCAACATATCCATGGGAACTACTTAATAAAAAGAAAAACACAGAATGTTTGAATTATCTGTGTAACTATACTTCAAGAAATAAATTTGATTTGAATTTGACCAGCTGTCCAGCAGTGAACAAATATTCAGATAAAGTAGATCTTGCCTTTACAAAGAAAAATGGTAAATTAGTTCTTTCCCCTTTAACTATCTCTAATATTCTAGACAGAGAAAAATATTTTCAGTTATTTTACAATTTAGTACCAAGCAGATACATAGATTTGCAACGTCTGACATCTATCATTTCTTGTACACTTTATTTATGATCTAGAAAATACTTTTAGATTACCAATGACAAAAATAAAAAAAATTGATTTGGAGGATATATTTCTCTGTGAAAATAATACAACTTTCAAAAAATGTAAATATTTTCATGATGGAATTCCTTTCAAAAATACTTGTAAGAAAATATCATTTTACAACCACTATTACATAGCGAAATAAGTTCTGTTCTCTACAAAATTCAGAATCATTAATAACTAAATATCAACTCTGAAGCTAGGATACAGTTGCTGGATTTAACAGGAAGAACATCATCTTGGCTTCTTTAATAGCAGTAAACATTTACTATTTTTTAATGAGTTCTCCATGCTGATCAGTCCTAATATGGAAGTAAAGTCCTGCTTCCTGTGTATATTCTGTGAAATATATGCAGAATTTTTCCATTGCAAATTTTCCGCTTACAGTGACAGCTGTAGAAGGTTTGATGAGCATCCATGAGAAGTAACACCAGATGCCCTCACCACCACTGCTTAAGGACCTGTTCTGCTTGTCAATAGCCAAGTTAGGTACACTCAGATTTTGTGCTTAAAAACATACAATATTGCATATGAGCTTGACAATCATGGTATGCAGAGCACATACCTCAGAATACATCAGGTTCCTAAAAAGACACCGTTTCCAACACAACACGTAACTCCTTAAGACCTTTATCAACTTTGCTTATCGCAACTTCTGAACTCTCAGAAGCAAATGGGGGAAGCAAATTAGCGCTGGATTATCTCACTTTCTGCCTGACTAGCTTCCTTCTTCCTTAATGCACATAATTACAGAAGTGCATTAGTAGAATAAACCAAAGTTCTTGAAGTTAAGCTGGTCCTTGTTTGGTATGCGAGAAATTTATGGGCTGACAATGGCGGGTTATACCTTCAGCCGAATGAAGTACTGTAGCAAATTCCCTGGATTGCACCACTTTAATCTAGAGATGAGGAATTGGGGAAATAAACCTGGTTTGGGTGTCCCAATATATAGGAAACTGCAAAAATAAACTAAGCAGCATAGGCAGAAGGAATCACATTACTGCATTTTTTCCCCTGCTGGGCATTTTTCAAAACATAGGAAGGATTTTTTTTTATTTTTTGAACAGTGGGACATTTTGATACCAAAACAGCCTTTAGTGATATGATTACTAACTTCTGGCTGAATGTTACAAAAAAGGACACCAGAGAATGCTTCTTTGCAAGATCAAGGGGCCATGGTCTAAGCTCATTTCAGATGATCAGTGATTTGTCTAAACTGATTTGTGGCTCTGTCTAGCCACCACTGGGACAAACAAAGCACACAGTGAAAAGGAGCAAGGCTTTTATCACAGTCTTTCCCTCACTTATCAACCCATAATCCGTAGGTTGCTTACTCTAGTCTAGAGAAATAACCAACCACCACAACTCACTCCTCTGCCAAGGTGGTAATAGATGAGTTCATTTTGGATGTGTGGGATTGAAAAGCATCCCTTCTGGTTTTGCAATTAAGAGGTAGCAGAGAATATTGTCTGTTTAAGCGGTGGTTAATCATTGTTAAGCGTGTTTTAAAATGCTGCTTAGTTACACCAAACACCTTTGCTTCCCAATATGCAACTTTACTACTTAAAACAAACCAGAGGCTTTTATGAAAAATCAGCCATTAGCAAGGAAGTTGTCTGTTGACCAAAACATACAATTCTTGCTTCTTGCTTCTTCTATTTGCTGATCGGAATGAAGATAATAAATTCCTAGCTACAAAGCAACTCCTGAAGCACAGCTTCTAGTTAATGCATGCTGAAGAGTTTTTTTTTTATAGAATTGGGAACTACACAGCTGCAGTTTCATGTCAGTAGGAATAATGCCCGAGCAGAATTTTTACCAATTCTCGCTTTATAACTGTGTCTTGCCAACAAGGTACATCTTTGAATCTCCTCCATTTTTACAAGGGGCACAACTACTTTTTCCTTCTTCCTTGTGTTAATATCCCTAGAGAAGCAAAAGTCCACCAAGAAAAAAAAAAAAAAAAGCATCAACAGAAATCAGCTTGAGGAGCTGAAGACAGAAATTTCCTAACCTGAAAATGAACAATGCCTATCATCCCTTTCCTGTTTTCCTATTGTTTATGGAGACAATATGATTTACTGACTTACAGAATGAAACCCCCCCAAAAAATGTACTGAAAAAATGCACAGACGATGCCGGGCTTCTGAAATAAATGATTTTTATACATAAAGAAATAAAAAAAATAAAAGGCTGCAAGAAAAAGAAATTCTTCCAAATGCAATAACGAGCCTAGTCCTCAGGCTTTTAACAGTAAAACTAAGGCAACCCAGCTTCACTGCCTAGGATTAAAATGCCTTTTCAAGAAAGTAGCCTGTCTCTTGTGTCACCTCTTCCAACAATACATAATGTGCTCAAACAGTACTTGGATTTGTAGCAAATTAATCCTGCTGTAACCACTGGTGCTAAGAAGGTTTAGCTGCCTTCCCACTTAAACTTCAACAACTTATAAAAAGATTGGATGGTCATGGCTTAACCCAACTTCACTGTAATTAAAGGAAAGAGTTTCTTGGTAGTGTTCCTAAATGAAAAACTGCAGCCCTTATTCCGGGGTAATTCCATTTCTTTGTAATCCCATTTTCTGTGCGGACAGTTTACATCTCTCCACGCCACACAGAAAAGGCCCTTCAGCCACAGCCAAATCCTTCAGCGCAAGCAAGCCAAAAACCCTGTGACCCCCAAATGCACAATAATTTAGCCATTAAATCCTCACGAGAGAGACCTGGGGAACAGGAAGAATGGAACGCCATAACCAGAAGAACGAAAGGGAGAGATTCTAGAAATGCCAAAACAGAGGAGGAGGTAAAACAAACAAACAAAAAAAAGGGGGGGGGAGAAATGACCTTGCTATAACACATTGAATCCTGTAGTTCACCGATGCTGGACCTCGTCCAGTTTGAAACAAGCAAGGAGCTAAGCAGGAGGAACAGGGGTACCAATCGGGAAGAGAGACTTATGCATAAACAGTGAATGAGGAAGATCTTTCCTGAGATTTAACCCTCAACGTATAAACTTGCTGGCTTCAAGCAAGCACCAAAGGAGTTAAGTGCTGAAGGACTGATGCTTAATCAGCTTTGCCCCTTTCCTTCACATGGGATTGGAGTGGACCTGCACTGGAAGAGCCCAAAGGGCTTAGAACAGCTCAATTTCGCAGGATTCAGTTTTAATCCGTCACCAAGATTAAGCAGCCGGACTGTGCTACTCAGCAGCAGTCCGGGCACCTGGTGTGCCATTAGCACCCTCTTCCTTGTCAGCCTCGGCTGCCTGGAGATGGCTGGACAATTCTTGGATGACAGCCACCTTTCCAATTTGATCATTCCTTCTTTTCTCCATAATGAGATCTTCCAGGCTCTGAAACTCGAGCGTGTGACCGCGTTTATCTCCCAGCTGGATCTGCAACCGGTAAGGCTGCTTCCCTATGCGCAGTTCACCCCCAATTTTGAACTCGCGCTTGCCGTAGCGGCACCAGGCGGCAAAACATTCGGAGTTCCTCCAGCAGAGATCCTGGTCTTTGCGACCCACTTGATCCAGGGCGTTCCGCACCACGCTGGCGGGGTTTAGCGGTTTATAGCGGTACAACTGGTTGGCAATGCGCCCCCGTCGGCCCTGGCTGGCGTCTGTGAGAAAACCGTTCACCACTTCGAGTCTGTGCAGATGGACCACTTGGAAGTCTCCCACGTACACGACCCAGTGAGGATATTGGGCCTGGCCCACAAATTCTATCAGATCGCCTGGTTTGCACCTGTTCAATAGGTTTTCTGGTGTGTAGGTGGTCAAATGGCCCCCACCACCACCACCCCCCACCTCACCAGATGGGGTGTGGTCACCAGAAAAGCTTTTCTGATAAATGCACTCGTCGCGGTAATAAATGGAGCATTCCACTTCGTGAAGCTGCGGGTCATAGGGCTGTGACGCAGGGTGCTCTCCACCAAGCTCTGCTGGGTCCTGCTGAGGCTCTACATCGTCATCATCATTGGAAAATATGTAAGACACTCCAATTCTGGGACCCTCGTCTCTGTCCATGCCGGCTGGGTCAGTCGTGGGAACCTCTCTGTAGTTTAAGTGGGTCAGTTTCTCTACTTGATTCCCCATGCCTGCTGAAAGAGAACCAAAGAGGCATTAGTACAGGTATAAACGAATGAGGAATAAATCAAGTAGATCTCCCTAAGTCAATCTGCTAGCAATCTTCTTGGCAGGCTTCCATCAACGGCTTATGGTTATCTTCCTACCATTCTCTGAACCCAGTTTTCTGATATGGCTTGTAGTCCTGGTGGTCTCTCGACGCTTAAATTTGGGAGGGGGGGTGTAATTCTACAGTCAGCAAGATTCTTCCCGTTTCTGTCTGCTGAAGGTGCAGTGCAGAGTAAGCAATGCCAAATAAGTGTTTTGCAGCTCACTTGGGACTAGCCTTCCTTCACGTTTGTTTTTAAAGGCAAATTCATATAGTTGGACCACTTCTCAGTGACAGCCCTGAAGCAATGTTCTTCCACCTCTCTCCTCAAAGCCACCGTCAGCTTGCTTGAGCCCCACTGCACATATATGTGTCCCAGGGATGCCACTCCGAAGTTCCTCGCAAAGGGATCAGTAAGGATCATGCTAGAATAATATACAGCTTGACTATTTTGTTTAATAAAAAGAAGCTGGAGGGGGCAGTATTGAATAGATGAAGAATCTTAATTTTCTTTAACAGGTCCTCTTTTTCAAAGTTGCTGGCGGGGGGAGGGGGGGAAAGGGAGAAACTTTAAAATGGGGAAACACCTAAAAGCCAAAACGTCACGCGACTCCTTCCTGCATCCTCACAACCCTCTTATTCCGAAGGACAAGGCAGTATTGCTCAGGCAATACAGACAACACCTGAGCCCACAGTTTCTGTTGCTAAGCAAGACAGTTGTTAAGTAAGTTTTGCCCCATTTTATGAACTTTCTTGCTCAAAGTTGTTAAGGGAATCACTGCAGTTGCTAAGATAGTAACAGGGTTGTTAAGTGACTCTGCCTTCCCCATTAAAGTTTCTTGTCAGGTTGCAAAAGAGGATCACATGACCCAGGGACACTGCAACCATCATCACTATGAGTCAGTTGCCAAGCAGCTGAAGTTGGACCACGTGACCGTGGGAATGCTGCAATGGTCGTAAGTCAAAGGTCACTTTTTCAGTGCCACTGTAATTTCAAGTGGTCACTAATGAATTCTTGTAAGTTCAGGACTACTTCTACTACAGAATAAAAAGTTATGAAGGGCCCGGCCACCACTGCTGTTAATCTAAATCGCCCAGGGGGCGATTTCATTTTTCAAGGGGGCAATAGAACGAAAAGGGGCGACATGGGGGCGAAAGAACGAAAGGGGGGCGATATGGGGGCGATGGAGCGAGATGTTTTGGGGACACTTTTGAGATTTTTTCGTACAGTGAATAGCTGTATATCTGTCGTATAAAAACATCAGATGATCACTATTAGTGGATTGTTTTCAAATGTTCCTCCAGCTAGCTTCAGTATAGAACACCGTACATATGTGAATACGCATTGCTTATCTTCATGCGCGTTGCATAGCAGCCTCTACCCATACAGAGGCGCGCCATTGGCCAGAATATGGGAGATATGGGAAAAAGACTGGAAATAAATTATTTGCATCGCTATGTCTGGATGACAATTTTAAAGAAAACAAAAAAAGGGTTTGCATAAATTGAAGAATTATTTCCTATGTTGTGACTGAGAGGTTATGTTGGGGGAGGGGGACGATGACAACTTCCTCATTGGCTCAAGGGGGCGATTCGTTCAAAAAGGTTAAGAACCACTGATCTAAATTACCAAGTTGTCCAAATCTCTTGAAAGAGATGATTTAGAATATGCAGAAGCTGTACAAAACATCTCCCACCCCCAATAATTATAGCATCTGGGGTTTTGGCCCCTTCCCTTTCAAACTTGCATAGCTGCTTCAGAATTTGTTCCTGGCTGTCTTTACAAGTGAAGTGAAATGTGTGGACAGACAAGCAGGCAGGCACCCACAGCTTCTGAAGCAACTGGAAAAAAGACAATAGACACACACAAAACCCCAGCATTTCTTAACACACAAAAGCCCACACACGTTTTCTGATTAGAATAGGGAGGGGAGAACTCGTTCTACCATCCCACATAAGGAACTTGGAATTCATCTCATTGCAATCCAGACCTTAGGAAACGTGTTTGGGTTGGGAATGCTTTCCTGGATTTTTATAAAGCCAGCCTGGGGCTCTGGAGTTGTGTGTCTACATTGTGGAGTTCATCGTTGGAAGAAAAGAAAAAAAGATAGGATGAAATTCTACACTTGTTTCTTGAATGTGAAGCACATCTCCTTTCATATCAGCTTTATAATACAACCACAGGGGTCTTTGTTAGCTTCCTCCAGACTCCTATGCCCCATCTGATTTTTTTCTAACTGGTTGTGTGACTATAATATGGATAAAGTGAATGGAGAGTCCCGTGCCCTACATGGAACCTATGCAGCCCATAATATGCCCTCAAAATTCCAGATGTGCTTGTAAATCCACAAGGATAGATGACTCTCTTCTCTATAATTTTTATCAGCTCTCTATAAGCAAGACCAATACAAAAGGGAATAGAACAGAACAGAATAGAATATAGAATAGAATGCAGAATAGAATAGAAAATAGAATAGAATGCAGAATAAAATATAGAAAATAGAATAGAATGCAGAATAGAATATAGAAAATAGAATAGAATGCAGAATAGAATAGATTAGATTAGAATAGAATAGAATAGAATACTTGGAAGGGACCTTGAAGGTCTTCTAGTCCAACCTCCTGCTCAAACAGGAAATCCTATAAAACTAGTCCTTGACTTACAACAGTTTTAGTGACTGTTCAAAGTTACAACAGCACTGAAAAAAGTGACTTATGACCGTTTTTCGCACTTGTGACCATTGCATCATCCCCATAGTCACATAATCAAAATTTCAACACTTGGCAACTGGCTTGTATTTATGACGGTTGTAGCGTCCCAGGGTCATGTGATCCCCTTTTGAGACCTTCTGACAAGCAAAGTCAATGGGAAGGCCAGATTCACTTAAGAACAGTGTTACTAACTTAATAGCTGCAGTAATTCATTTAACAACTGTGGCAAGAAGGGTCGTAAAATGGGGCACAACTCACTTAACAAACGTCTTGCCTGTAAACAGAAATATTGGGCTCGGTTGTGGTCGTAAGTCGAGGACTACCTACAATATATTCATGTCTGAAATGAGGCCAATAAACATTGGTTTAAAGCCACCTAGAGCAGGGGTAGGCAACCTTGGCTCTTTTATGACTTGTGGACTTCAACTCCCAGAATTCCTGAGCCAGCATGGCTCAGCATGGAAACCTCTCTCTTTCCCCTCAGCATGGCTGGCTCAGGAATTCTGGGAGCTGAAGTCCACGAGTCATAAAAGAGCCAAGGTTGCCTACCCCTGACCTAGAAGATTCTCCGCCAAGGTAAAGACTTGGGCCAAGGGTATTTTTGGATCATCATAGTTCTGTCTCCTTCATGCTGCATGAGAAATGATGAGAGGAGTATTCCCCAAGAACTCTCCTTAGCTACAAATTCATTAGGTGGCAGATATTTTCATATGCAACTTTAGGATGCAAGGAGCTGCCTTAGGTTAAATCAGAACATCTTGGGCCATCTTAAAGAGGGACACTTCCTTCTGAATAGGAACAAGTTCAAGCCTTTTTTAGTTTTGCTACTTAGGATTCAGTAATCCCTGACAATTAAAAACTGAAAAAGGAGAATATTTGTAGCTCCAGGACGAAAGGGGGGGGGGTCCTTGGTGCTCTCTGAGCTTGGTTGTTTTTTTTTTTTTTTTTTTTTGTAGATATTTCATTACCCAAACTAGATAACACCATCAGTGTACCCATCAGGAACCCATCTATCCAAAGCTAGAAAACTGTAGGAAGTTTAGCTTTCTTATTTGTCCATATATTAGTTCTGAGCATTAACCAGAAATCAGCGAGGAAAGCGTTTCATCCTGCTGATGTCTCAATCAAGAACCGCCTTGTAAAATTGATATTTGCAGGCAGCCAGTGGGGAATTTCTTCTCAACAGAAATGCTATCTTTATCATATGCACTTTTCTCAGGACCTCAGCAAGGAAAAAAAAAAAAAAAAACAGGCTCAACCCTTCCCTTCCAATCAGCTGCCATCCTCCCATTGATCTCTTCCAGCAGGAGACATTCTCTGCTTTCCTTTTAGAAAACAGAAAAAAAAGCTAAATGTCATGAAGTCCCTGTTCCCTGGCCATTCGCTGGACACGGTATAAAGGTACACAGTAGCTCTGCCAATGGAGATTGCCACAGGGATGAGCAAAGCGAGAGAGCAAAATGTACACACATCACCTTGGGAGACATGGGGGGGGGAGGAGTATTTGTCAGGCAAATAGCAGGAAAGTCTTTAGGGTAAATTGCACGTGGCACGCTGGGAAAGGGAGGGAACAAAGGCTGAAACAACAACAGACTTTCCCACCTGTTGATGACAGTGAAGCTGCAACAGGCACAACGAGGAAGCTGGAGTAGCTCGAACTATTACTAGGCAATAGGACAAAGCCAGAGAGAGTCATTTTCCATACAGGAGATGAATGCAAGTAAAAAGTTTGCTGACACCTAGAAGGAAGGCTCTTCTCCATATTTCTCAATAGTTTCGCTTTGCCCAGGGGTGGAGGCGTATTTTAAAGACTTTGCAGCTATTGGTGAAGGCAGCCTAAAGTTTACGGGAGATCAGAGAGGAAGGAATAGAGGTGTTATACGTCCCCACTTCCTCCGAGACTAGCAGGTGCAAAAGGGCCCCCAGCATATGTTTAAACAAGTCTTTGAGTGGCTCAGCAAGTCACACGGAGCAGGCACCCAAAGGCCGCCTCCACATATATGTCGATATATATTCTACAAAGGGAAACAATGGTACTTAATGTAGCATATCCTTCAGCTGAGTAGAAAAGTTATAGCAAGTCCTACAGGACTTGGATGTTTAGCAAGTGGGAGAATAGTGAAGCTTTAAATCACTGTCTGGCTGAAAGGCAGAGGGGACCAGCTTTCTGCAAAGAAGAGGATCAAGGCAGAGGAAGTTTATAGTTGCTTGCCTTTTGGCGAGTAAATCCTACAGGCCAGCAAAGATCTTACTTTTGAGGAAACATGGTTAGAAGATTGTTAACCAGTTTCCCACATAGTACAAATATATACCATTAAAATGGAAGGCAAAAATCATTTTCTTCTTTAACAAGAAGCCATTCTAGCATCCTGTTCCTCCCAACTGCCAGCCACCTGCTTCTGGAAGATGCAGAAGCAGGTCAAGACAATTAAAATAATATGAAGGTGAGAAAACCATAATAAAAATGACATTTCTATTTAGCCTTGTCAGAGCACTTCCTGCTAATCATCTGTGCTTCCCGCATGTTACCACAACCCTGTGCAGTAGGCCCTTATTAAGGCTAGTCAACGTTAATCTGGGACAGAGGCCAAGAATAAAATCAAAGGCCCCAGGATCATTGGAACTCCTGCTAAAGGTCAAAGAAACATTGCAGAATAAAAACTACCAGGTTCGACTGGAAAGACTCATGGTAAGCTTTGTAAGAGCCAGTTTAGTAATTACGGCACCAGGCTAGAAATCAGCAGGTCCTGAGTTCCAGTCCTACCTTGCTTTAACTGTCTGCCTTTGGACCAATCCCTGTCTCTCAGCCCAGCTCACAGGGTGCTTGTGGTGAAAATAGTTAAGGGAAGGAATGCTGGAAACGTTCACCATCTTACACTGTTTATATCCTAGTAAACGGGATATAAATAAATTAACACATCAATAAACCAACACCTGCTTTGAGCTAAAAGCAAAAATTAAGAGGCACGTCTGAAGGGGCTTTTTAAGAACTGTTTGAAAGAATGGAAGCTCTGCTCCAAAGCTAAACCAGCTTTGCCTACCTCCCTTCTTTTGAAAAGGGGGGGGGGAGGAAGGACGTTTTATTTCTCCACACACACACACACACACACACACACACACAGACACACACGACTGCTCGATTCCTCTGCCTTTCATTGACTCCTTGCCGCTGGAAACTTTCTATAAGGGCGACTCCCTCCCTCTCCGCCCTCCCCCTCGTTTTCTCCATCAGCTTCTTCCCTCAGCACCTGGGATCAAAGTATGCGGGGGGGGGGGAGAAGAAGGGCTCCTGGCAAGCCCAGGTGAGCTCCACTCACCTGGCCGGCCGCCTCCTCAGAACAAACAAACCGTCGACCAGCCCAGGTGTGCCGGGTTGCTGCCGTCACCTGATCCACTCCCCATACCTGCCCCCGCCTTTCCTCCTCCTCCTCCTCCGTCCTGAGCGGCTGCTTGATGATGGAAGCGGCGGCGCTGGAAACTTACCAGGCGGCGGGTGCTGCTGGGGCTGCGGCCGGGAGGAGAGACCCGGACTCCGGGGCGGGCGAGACGTAGAACCGATGGGAGCTGGTTGCTCCTCTTCCCGTCCCCCGTCGGGGGCTTCTTTAGCGGCCGATCGCCGGCAGCCCCGAGTTGCCGCTCGCCTCCTTCATGGTCCTGCGGCTGGGGCGCCTTGACCGCTCTCGTCCCGACCCGCCGGCCTGAGCAACAAGCGAGGGAGACCCGGGCTGGGGTGAAGGGGGGGGCGCCGGCAAGAGGCACCCACCCCGCCGGCTTCCGAGGCGCCCCGCTTGCCCCTCTGGCCAGAGGCGCCGGGCGCCGCTGCTCTCGGCTTCTTCCCGGTCCGCGGCGGCGGCGGCGGCGGCGGCGTGCCACGCGCTCCAGCGGCAGAGCCCGGCGGCGCCCGGCGCTTCCTCCGCCGCGTGCCCCGCGCTCGACGCAGCACCGCTCGCCGCCAGCGGAGGGAGCTTTCCTTCGGGGGCGGGAGGGGAGGAGTTAAATCCGTCCTCCCCCCCCCGCTCCTTTTAGGGGAGGGGCGTTCGGGCCGAGCCGGTTGGCTGTCCAACCGGCGAGGGCGGGAGGGCCAACTTTTCTTTTTTTTAATGCTCGTGTGCCTTTTTTTTTTCAAATGGGGGGGGCGCGGCAGATCGCTTCTCGCCAGGCCTTTAAAGAGGAGAGCTCTTCTGGCTAAGGATTGGCTCCCCCCTCCCCGGCTCTCTTTTCCCCTCCCTCCCTCTGTTGGAAACCGTAACTGTGTGAACGACGGAAGCTGGATGGTGGTTTTTTTTTTTTTTTTTCGGTGTTGGGGAACCAAGGCAGCAGGTTGCCGCGTTCCTTGCTGCGCGTCGTGGGCGGCGGGGGAGTTCTGCCGATGGCGAGTTGGAGATCCGAGCGAGGCGGTTTGCCTCCTTCCTCAGCTGGTTGCCGAGCCCGGTTTCGGTGGCTAAGCTGGAGTTCGGGGCTGGGGGCTCGTGGCTGGCCCGCAGAAGGCAATTCTGCTCGCTGGCTTGTAGAAACGGCTTCTGCTAACTAGGTGGTGGGAAACGGATCCTGTCTCTAGTTGGGCTGGAGCTGTGGGATAAACAGACTGACCTTGGTCTAGTGTTTAAAGCACGAGGAGACGGAGGAGGGGATGGGGAGTTCTAGTTCCCCCTTTAGGCATGGAAACTGGCTGGGTGACTTTGGAGCAATCACCGGGAGGCTGTGAGTTCTAGTCCTGTCTGAGGCATGAAAACTGGCTGGGTGATTTTGGAGCAATCACTGGGAGGCTGTGAGTTCTAGTCCTGCCCGAGGCATGAAAACTGCCTGGGTGACTTTGGAGCAATCACTGGGAGGCTATGAGTTCTAGTCCTGCCCGAGGCATGAAAACTGCCTGGGGGACTTTGGAGCAATCACTGGGAGGCTGTGAGTTCTAGTCTTTGCCTGAGGCATGAAAACTGGCTGGGTGACTTTGGACCAATCACCAGGAGGCTGTGAGTTCTGGTCCCACCTTAGGCAGGAAAACAGGCTAAATGACTTTGGGCCAGTCATTTGCTATTGGCCCAACTCTCCTTATGTTTGTGGGGAAATGGGAGGAGGAAGGGGTATTAGATATGTACACCATCTTGAGTTATTTATACAAACTAATATAGGTGCATTACAAATAAATAAATAAACCTGGGATAAGCAACTTTTGGTGCTGGAGAAGACCCTTCAGAATCCCTTGGATTGAAAGGAGATCCAATCAGTCAATCCCAAAGGAAGTCAACCCTGGCTGCTCTTTGGAAGGACAGAGCCTGAAGCTGAAGCTCAAATACTTTGGCCACCTAATGATGAGAGAGGACTTCTTGGAGAAGACCCTGATTGTTGTGAAAAATTGAAGGCAAAAGGAGAAGGGGATGGCAGAGGAGGAGATGGTTAGATAGTGTCTTACATAAACTCAAACTCCAGGAGACAGCAGTGGGGGGGGGGGAACTGGTGTGCTATGGTCCATAGTGTCACAAAGAGTCGGCCATAACTTAGCAACAGAACAACAGCAAGAAGGCAACTTTGTCTCCGTGGCTGATTTACTAAGTGGTTTGGGATTATTATTTTTTTAAGTTAGACTAATCTCAAATACCATTGATTGGTTTGCTGGTTGCTCTTTTAAGTTTTTTTTTTTTTTTTTTTTTAAAGATACGTCAGTGCTATATAGGGGCAACCATGCCATCTGTTTTAGAAGAATTGACTTTGTGATTCTAAATGTGAGGAATATGGAAACATGGCTGGTGTGGAAAAGAAAGGAAGGTGATGTTTACACACCTGGGGAGGATCCTTAAGCATCTATAGATTTGTTTGGTTCTTAAAGATGCAAGAGGTTGCTATCTAGGAAATTTTTAAAAAAGGACAAGACGACGGAAAAACTATGTCAGTCTTTGAACTCAACTCAATGTCATTCAATCCAGTTTCTAGAGACTGGTTTGAAAAGTGAGGATCCCCCAAAACTGCTGATTGTGATATCTTCTTTGCTGCCTGCCAGAATTCTGTCCCTTTAGATTTTCTTTAAAAAGATCTTTTAAAAATAATACTTTTCCAGGAAAGGAACTGAGAGGCTGTCATGCTGCAAATCTTGACATCTTTATTTCTCCCAGGGGCATTCTTAGGAAATAAAAATGTGTGCCATTTGTCATTTATTTATGTGTGTCAGCTTGATAACATGTCTTTTGCACAGGAGATCATGGAGCTTTTACATAGCACTGCATCCCCTGGTTTCCAATCCCATAGCAACAACCTTGTGGAAGTTGGGGGTGAATGAGAGAGAGAGAAACAGACAGACAGTCTGGACCAGTGTCACCCAAGCAGCTTCCATGACTGAAGATGGACTTGAACCCAGGGCTCCCTAATTCCAGTTCAATATCTTCAGCACTATGCTCTATTGAATTTCTGAAGTTTGGAGTAATAGAAACCATCCCTTGCCAGCATGTCTTCTAAGTAGCCAGTATACAGATAGTCCTTGACTTACAACCATTTGTTTAGCAACCATTCAAAATTACATCAGCCCTGAAAAAAAGTGACTTACAACTGTTTACACTTGCCACCATTGCAGCCTCCCCATGGTTATGTGATCAAAATTTGGCCCCTCAGCAACCGGCATGTATTTTATGATGGTTGCCTGGGTCCTATAATTGTCATTTGCGATCTTCCCAGCTGTCTTCCAACAAGCAGTGTCAATGTGGGAAGCTGGATTTGCAAAAAGACACAATTCATTTCAGAACCGCAGTGATTCACTTAACTAGTGTGGCAAAAGTCATAAAATTGGGCACAATCCACTCGGTAACCGTCTTGCTGAACAACAGATACTTCTGGCTCCAATTGTGGTCATAAGTTGAGAACAGTACCTAAGAAGTACAGTCAACCTGTAGTAAGACATGGGTGACGTTCACAGTATCCGAAGCAGAACATAACCAGATTAAGTACCACATGTTTTGTTCCATACAGTATTAACTTTGTAAGGAACTCTCATGATAGCAGCTTCTTCTTTCTGACTACCTAGAACTATGACAGTGAGAACAATTAATCAGTGGAACAGCTTGCCTCCAGAAGCAGTAAATGCTCCAACACTGGAAGTTTTTAAGAAGAGACTGGACAGCCATTTGTCCGAAATGGTGTAGGGTTTCCTGCCCGACCAGGGGGTTGGACTAGATGACCTCCAAGGTCCCTTCCAACTTTACTACTATTACTATATGTAAGAATGTAGATACATACATATGTTGTATATAGCATGTTTATATGTGTGTTATGTAATGTGTACACTTTTGAGAGCAGGCAACAGAATTTCATTTTTAATGTGTGCCAGTGTGCCCACAGTAAAAAAATGACAATAAAGGTTATCTTTATATCCCATCCCATCCCATCCCATCCCATCCTATCCTATCCTATCCTATCCTATCCTATCCTATCCTATCCTATCATCCTCTCAAATATGTCCATGACTTCGAAGTGTTTGCAAGACAACCTGGCTTCAGGATCTCAACCTTGGTGATAATACCTTTCCCATGTCTTACCTTATGATAGACATGTCAAACTCATGACGTCATATGATGTCACGCAATGTATCGGATGGTTTTGCCATTGCCGGCAATGGGGTGGGTGCGGCTTCCAGATGATGCGTACGGCCCGCGGGCCACCAGTTTGACACACCTGCCTTATGAAAACATAATGTTAGATCACATCCACCTTGCCTTGAATCCAGGAGGATCACTAGGTCACTTGATGAAGCCTGGTATTCTACCAAAGGAGCAATTAACAAGCATATTGATCTAGATCCAGCATATGAATATGTAAGAAACTAGACCATTCAAACTACCAATCAACAAGAGAACCAATCAACTGCTCAGAATTTAAATATAGCTCCAAAGGAACACATGACCAACTGACCATACTGGCACACAAGACATTTATAAGCTAAGGAGAACAGAACTGAAGAAGCTTCTTGGATTAGAAGCGAATTGTCTTCAAGGAAAACAAAGTCCAGTTGCCTTTTTAAAAAAATTAAGAAAGCATCTTTGGGATAAGGTCTACAAGGCCTGAAGGGGGGAGGGTTTGGAATAGAAGACCTCCAAGACCCCTTCCAACTCTATTATTCTATTTTCCTCTACATCAGTGTTTCTCAAACTTGACAATTTTAAGGCATGTGGACTTCAACTCCCAGAATTCCACAGCCAGCATTGCTGGCTGTGGAATTCTGGGAGTTGAAGTCCACATGCCTTAAAATTGTCAAGTTTGGGAAACACTGGTTCACATGATATTCCTGATTACAGAACTGGGCCCTTGGAGTGGAAAAGGCTGCATTCAGCTCAGAGCTACACTCAGCACAGATTCTGGGATCTTAATAATAAAGTTGGAAGGGACCTTGAAGGTCATCTGGTCCAACTCCATGCTCAGACAAGAAACCCTATACCATTTCAGACAAATGGCTGTCTAGTCTCTTCTTAAAAATGTCCAGTGTTGGAGCATTCACAATTTCTGGAGGTAGGTTGTTCCACTGATTAATTGTTCTAACTGTCAGGAAATTCTTCCTTAGTTCCAGGTCGCTTCTCTCCTTGATTAGTTTCCATCCGTTGCTTCTTGTTCTGCCCTCAGGTGCTTTGGAGAATAGCTTGACTCCCTCTTCTTTGTGGTAGCCCCTGAGATATTGGAACACTACTATCATATCTTTCCTTGTCCTTCTCTTCATTATACTAGACATACCCAATTCCAGCAACCGTTCCTTAAATGTTTTAGCCTCCAATCCCCTAATCATCTTTGTTGTTCTTTGTACTCTTTCTAGAGTCTCAACAACTTTTTTACATCATGGTAACCAAAACTGGATGCAGTATTCCAAGTGTGGCCTTACCAAGGCATTGTAGAGTGGTATTAACACTTCATGTGATCTTGATTCTATCCCTCTGTTAATGCAGCCTAGCACTGTGTTGGCTTTTTTGGCAGCT